GTAGTAGTAGTAGTAGTAGGAGGCACTAGTAGTCGTAGTGATAGTAACTAGCGGAAGAAGAAAAGCTAGTCGTCGTCGGCGTTGTCCCCACCACACAGTTAGCTGACAAACACCAACCTTACTGCATGCTCCTCCGCAGCCTCAACCGGCAGCACCGCCTCCTGCTCCTCCTGCTCCGATTCTGCCTCCTCGTGCATCTCCTCTTCGGCCTCCTCCTCCTCGTCCTCCTCCTCGGCGCCCTCTTCGTCCTCCTGGCAGAAGACAACAAAGGACAAACCATCTAAACAAGGATGCTTGCAGATTGTAGATGCAAAGGCAACGGGTTGCAATCTACCACAAAGACTAACAGATTCCGGATCTGATACGAAGGCCCCAATCCTTCGTCTTAATCCCTGGAAATCCCAAGTACCTGTGCCCAAAATCCCTCAATCAATCCCCCAACATAGCCCAATCACAACCACTCGGTTCAGTGAACGCGTACCATGCTTGCAGGTTGGTAACGGAAATTTGAAGTCACCACACTTCTATAACCATGATCCCTCAACTGGTGCTTCGAAGAGCTTTGGGGAAGCGCTTTAGCGGCTTCCGAGCGAAAGGCTTCCACAGCCTGGCGCTGTAAGGTTTTAGCGCCGCAGGATTCTATTCGTGATCCTCTTCGTGGTTCTCAAACATGGTGTCCGTCGCGACATCTGCGTCGGTGCCGTCCGCCTCCAAAGAGTCCTCGCCGGGAGGCTTACTGTATTTGCGTTTTTGAGTTTGTAATCATCGTAGCGCAACGTCGAAACTACTAACTAGTACCCACTTGAGACTGCAGTGTCGCAACTGCAGCGACGACCGCCAAACCGTGACAAACAACTTATAGCTTCTGCTATCTACAGTAGCATGACGAAGGCTCGAAATGAAGACTACTCTAAGATGCCGCAAAAAGACCGGAGGCTGCTTGGTCTGTGCAAGCCACCCCCCATGTGTAAGACAAAGTTCGTTCATTGCAGAACAGTGCTGCAAGCTCTAAAGTCCCACAAACCCCAAGCCCGCCCCCAGAAAAGTTAAGTCCTAGAACCCCGATCCTAATCCCTAAAGCCAAACTCTGCGCCCAAAGAAACCCGGGGACAAACCCAGGCCACTCTTTGGGGCTCTTAGAGACTTTGAAGCTTCCAGATTGAAGGTTGGCTTCAAGAACTGGGGTTCAGCGCTTAGGGTTTAGGGTTTAGGATGTTTATGGATCTTCCACTTGACTTAGGGCGTAGGGTGGTGCAAAATGGGTTCTGGGATGCTCTGCGGAATACCTCTTTGGCAAGTTTACGGAAGGGTCGATCCCGTGGGCTGTGTTATGGCATGCTACTATGTTGAATGGCTTCCACATGTTAAGGGGATGCCAAACCAGGTTGGCCGTTAAACCCTGGCAAACTCGCGAACAAGATCCTGGTAAAACCAAGCAAGTAAAATGCACAACGCCCCTATGCCGTACCCAGCGAGTGTCCTACTAGCCCACACCGCCCATGAAGTCGGCTTTGGGTTGCAAGATTTAAACTCGTGGGGCTTAAGGCTTAAGGTCTTGGGGTAAAATCCTCGGCATCTCCGTCCATCCACGTGCCGTCTTCATCATCCTCCGCCTCGACCACGACGATCTGACACGCACTGTTGTGGGCTTGGAATGTCTTCAACAACAAGGCGACCCCTGTGTAGAGGTCAACTGGAGGAAAGGACATCGCAGCTGTGGCAGTTTTGGGACAGAATCGTTTTACGGCTAGCTGCATGCTTTGAGATCAGGCGTTCACATCGCATCTGTCCCGGAGCTGTCAAGCGCTAAGCCATGCCTTGAAAACTCGACCAAAAGGGGCAGGACCACAGGCAGTCAAGCTTTAGAGTACGATGAGCAGCCTGAATAACTTCAATAGAGCTGTTAATGTGTGTGTGTGTGTTCTACTGCGCAATACACAAGAATCCCGAAGGCCCTAAGGAATAATAGTAATTTTTCACGGCAGATTTACGATTGACAAGACAACAGAATCCCCAACACATACTTTTGTCGGTCTGAATGCAGACTGTGTCTTCGTAAAAAGAAATAGTAGTGGCATGCAAGCCCATTCTTCAGGTGACGACCCGACTCCTAAACTCTGAAGCCCCCGAACCCCCAACCTTAAACTCTAAAACCAAGAATAGCATAAGTCGACATCAACGTAAACCTTCTAAACCCTATATTAAACCCTATAAACGCTCAATAATGCTCCCAGGGTCCAAGTATCTTGTAAAGCAATGAGAAGCCGTTCGCATCGTAATTTGCAGGTTGTTCGGGCCTGACAGAGCTAGAGTGTTTTAAGAGTGTGGATTTTGAAATCTACCTTGGGGTCTCGCAACAGGAAGGAGACGGAATCTGAATGCTCTCCTGACCTTGTTTGGCACTCAAGCTCTTCCCCTGGCTTGTCCTTGCCTCATCGGCACAAAGCTGAGACATTTTACTTCGCAAAGTGCACGGTGAAGCATCTGTCTGATGCTGGCGCCAGGCAAACTGCTCGACAAGCAGCACTATGTCTGCGTTTTTCTCTCGCAGCCACCCCCTTGCCAGACTTTCGTGGAAACTGTGGCGGGGCCCATGTTTTTTACCTGTGTACTTGCAAATGCTTAAACACTTTCTTTTGAAGACTTTACCAAACATGGTTGGCAAGTTGGCAAGTGACAGCAAAGACCTCCTTATCTCATCTAGAGGAAATCGGAGAAAGCCGCCCGACGCCAAAGACGTGGGCAGCGAAACCCCTCCAAGCGCAGCAGAAAACGCGCCGCGACAAGCAGCGCCAAGTACTCTCGCCCACTCCAAATTCATGGCCAGGGGCTCTGCTCTGATCCGGAACGACCATGAGTCGGTGGCAAAGGACGTCATTATCCCCCCCAGGCCCCCCGATCCAGTCGCAACATGCTGAACATCAAAGTTCGACAGCAAGGAATGTCCGAAAGCAAGGACAAACCTGAAAATCCGAATATCCGAAATAGAAGAGAGGAAGCCTGGAAGTCTGAAACCGGATGAGCGGGCACAGTAGCAAAAACCCGAGGGAAAAGCTATGGGTTAATGCAAAAAATTGCAAAATAAAACCTAGAAACGTGGTGGCCGCGCAGAGCGCGGGGTCCAACTGCTACCCCAACGGTTCAGGGTTTAGGGTTTAGGTAAACACAAATACCAAATTTTGTGGGTACTTTGCACCCTTCGGGTTGCACGGGTTGCTAAACCCTAAAGCCTCAACCCTATAGCTGCCGTCTATTACACGAAAACCGTGAAGAACCCGCAGAGATCCCTGTAAGAATCCCCAAAGAACCCTGATGCATCCCGAACCCCTATAAGGTCCCGTTCAGAAACCCCAAAGAACCCTTCTACTTTTGGATCCCATTAAGAAACAATAGAGGAGCCGTGCACCTAGCCTTGCCGGGTGCCAACTCCCGCAGCTCCAAAGCCAGCGCGGCCGAGGCTGCTTTTGGAACCCAAAGAATGGCCTGGGTTTAGGGTTCAGGGGTTTCAAGGTCTAGGGTTCAGGGGTTTAGGGGTTTAGGGCATAGGGGGCTCAGATTCAGGGAAAAATACTGTATAGCTCTACCCCTAAGGAACAAGATTGGTCTTTATTTAATCCTGCCCCAAGGATTTAGGGTTTAGCTTCCCTCAAAAGGTCAATAAGTGGCTCTGTAACGGTTGGTGGATTTAGGGCCTCAGGAGGTGGAGTTGGTGTTGTGGTATACTATACTTAAACCAATATAACCTGCTACAATGCTGCTACAACTATCGCAAAGAACCTTAAGGAATTTAGGCCCCTATGTTAAGCCCCTCAGTGGCAGAACTCTCGGCAGGATCGAGTTTTCAGTATCTACCTATGTGTGTGTGTGTATATATATATATGTATATCGTATGCTATATGTGCATAAAGGCACATATTGTGCATAACTAACAGAACCGTAACACACATGAGTAAGCACATGTGCGAGAGAGAGAGAGGGAGAGACAAAGACAGATAGATACAAAGAGACGGAGAGGTAAAAGGAGAGAGGCAAACGGAGAGGGACAGCTCGAGGAGAGAGACAAGCAGATCCAACCAAAACTAAAAGACGGGCCCACATCAAAGCTTGAAAACTTAGAAATGCACCGCTTTGTCTTGCGCGTGGGATCGTCATGCTTCTGTGTAGGGCGTAATTAGGGCAAGGGCAGAAGTAAGTGTTTTAGGCTTCGCCGGGCTATTCGCTTGGCTGGCTCTGACCAGCACGGACAGATATTTGCATATCGTCCCAAATGCCCTTAAACCGTTGCCTAAATCAAAGCCCAACGCACTAAATCCAAACCCATGCACCCTACTTAGTCATAGCGGCACCGGAGGGGCAAATCTTACTGACTGCTCAGAAGCGATAACTGCAATACATATCCGCACCTGCGCATCCCCGTTGGCACTGAAGCTCTGCGTCAGCAGCCGCTGACCATCCTTCGTGTTATAGAGGGCCGACACCTGCGCGTGTCAAGCTGTTGCGGGTCTGGGGCTCGGGATTTTGGGTTCGGGATTCAAGCTGTAGAGTGTTTTGTTGCAAGGGTTTAGGCTGATCCATGGTCGCATTGCCTCCGTTGGTGAAAGTGCACATTGCCCACACATGCTAATCGCTGCTAGTGACGTCCATGGTCGCACTGCTCTTGCCAGTGCATGCCCAAAAACCTCAAAAGCACCAATCCTGCAAGCGCTATGGAAGCCTCTTTTGCAGTATGATTCGCGAAAAGAAGGGAACACTACCTCGGCCGATGCCTCGTGTCTCTCAGCCAAAACCCTGAAGCTCTCTGAGCGCGCGCACACACACACAGAGTGCATCAGCGGAATGTCTGATACGCCCTAAACCCCAAACCCCCCAAACCCCAAAACACTCGAACAACTTGAGGTTTCATCACACGCTCGCAAACATCGGTGTGCAAAAGATCCTCCCATGTCCCAGTAATAGCAATGTTAACATGGACAACACATACACGCTGAAACCCAAAACTGAATCCCTAGCCGAATCTCTTTTCTCGTGACCTAAACTGTTAACCCGACGCCCTAGACCGGCAATCCTAGGCCCTAAACGCTGAAATATGTTTTGAAATGTCCTATCCTGACTTGTCCAGTATGCTAAGGGATCTAAAGGTTAATTTAGAGATTGTAGTGCCCCAACAAGGGTAAAGGTTACATTGAAATCTGAAGCCTTCAATCCCTAAATCCCAAACATGCTTTCAACATCTTTCAACCCTAAACCCACCAAGCCCTACAAACCTAAAAGCCACAAGCCCTATAGCCTAAACCCCACTAGCCCTATACCCTAAACCCCACAAGCCCTAAACCCTAAACCCCACAAACCCTAAGCCCCACCAGCCCTAAACCCTGAACTCCACAAGCCCTAAACTCAAAAGGCTCTATAAGCCGTATAAACCTTGAACCCTAAGCCACAAACACAACATATCCTAAACCCCACAAGCCCTAAACCCTATGAGCCCTATAAGCACTGTCAGCCCTAGAAGCCCTAAACTCAATAACCCCACAAGCTAAATCCTAAACCCCACACACCCTAAACCCTATAAGCCCTATAAACCCTAAACCCTACTCCACAACTAACTATCTTCTACCGGCCAGCCTTGGATGCCGGCACCCCTGACACGACAAGCCGCGCGCCCTCCACCACGTCCTGGTTTAGGGCTTATAGGGGTTTACTATCGGGGCTGAGAGGGGTGTAGAGGTTTAGGATATAGGGTTTGGGGTTTAGGGGCGTGGGGCAGCGCTGCGGAAAAGGATTTTATGGCCTATGTTTTCTTTTTAAGGGGAGGGGGTGGTGGGGCTAGCGTTTAGACTAAGCCGTTTTAGAGAGTAGCATCATCTAGTGATTGGGGTCTGAGGGTAGTGCGGCTTTGCAAGGCTGCGTCCGAAAACACGCCCTACCCATAGGCTCCATAGTAGTTCCTGTTTGTGGGTCATGCTTAAGATCCTATAAGGCAATCCCAAAAAGGAACTACTATGGAGCCTATGGGTATTCACCTCATTTTCCAATGATTCCCCCCAGTACAAGCACCTCAGAGGGAAGGCCCTCGTCGAAAGTCACCCCCCTACACCAAAAAAAGCCCTAAACCCCAAACCCGAGAATAAGGAGAGTTACAACTAGACGGGGAAAATGCAACCAGCTGGGTAAAAAAAAACACAACTGAAATCTCTAGAAATTGGTTCACATGAGAGAAAATACAACCAGATGGGTGATAATGCAACTGGGAGTCTTTGGGGCTTTCTTTGAGATGTAAGGGGTCTTTGGGGCTTTATCTGAGATGTTAGGGGTCTTTGGGGCTTTATTTGAGATGTTAGGGGTCTATGGGGCTTTTTGAGATGTAAGGGGTCTTTGAGATGTAAGGGGTCTTTGGGGCTTTATCTGAGATGTAAGGGTCTTTGGGGCTTTATTTGAGATGTAAGGGGTCTTTGGGGCTTCATTTGAGATGTTAGGGACTTGCCACAAACTGAGATGTAAGGGGTCTTTAGGGCTTTATTTGAGATGTAAGGGGGTCTTTGACGTTTTGTTCGAAATGCAAGGGGTCTTTGGGCCTTCATGTGAGACGTAAAAGGTCTTTGGGGCTTTATTTGAGATGTAAGGGGTCTTTGGGATTGCCTACATGCCTTTCGCACCTACATGACCGAAAGCATACACACCGAAATAATCATGTTCAGTATTGCCTACATGCCTTTCGCACCTACATGACAGAAAGCATAGACACCGAAATAATCATGTCCAGTATTGCCTACACGCCTTTCGCACTTACATGACCGAAAGCATGCAAACCGAAATCATCATGTTAAGTATTGCCTACACGCCTTTCGCACTTACATGACCGAAAGCATGCAAACCGAAATCATCATGTTAAGTATTGCCTACATGCCTTTCGCACCATAAACATGTCAAGTCCTCATGGCGCAAAGAAAAGGGACGAATCACAACCACCATTATCCAGCTTTGGTACTGGAACCTTAAGGCTGTACGTTGGTTTTTTGCAGAGCATGGCCAAACTTATAAAGCCACCGGAATAGCCAGTTGTAATTTCGCCTGTTGGTGAGAGCCCACAATAGTGGTTCAGTTGCGTTGCCCCCCGTGTGGTTGTATTTTCTGCCGTTTGGTTGTATTTCGACCCTGTTGCCCCCAAACCCCAAACCCCAGATCCTAAACCCCAGGCCCTAGACCCTAAACCCTATACCATACACCCCCGACCTAAAGCAACAAAAAAACAGCTCCGAGGCTCCTCCCACTCGGCCTCTTCGATCACGGCTCGGGTGCAAGCGGCGTAGGCCCTGACCTTCTGAGCGAGACACTAGGGTCCCTTTATTCAGGGGTTCTAGAAGGGCATGTGAGGGCTTAGAGTTTACCTATAGTCTCCATTGTAGGTCCTTTTTTCGGTTTAACCAATTTCATATTAAGGATCCTAAAAGGTAACCCCAAAAAGGAACTAGAATGGAGACTATAGGTAGGGTCTTAGGGTTAGAGCAGGCTGATGATTGGGTTGCTAAAATAGAAGCCCTTAGGCTCGGTAGTGGTGGCTAATGCAAGAGTCTGGAGGAAGGGGTTTCGGGGAGTCACAGGGGGTTTTGGGGTTTCGGGGTTTACCGGGCTGAGGTTTAGTTGAAGGAGTTTAGGGTCCCTAAACCCTAAACCCTAAACCCTAGACCCTGAACCCTAAACCCTATTTAGGGGGTTGAATTGGGTTTCGGGCTTAGGGCTTGGTTCAGGGGAGCTTGGAGTCTCAGCTTGGGTTTTAAGGTTTTTTTGGGGGGGGGGGATCCAAGAAGGGAAGCCCTGAAGCCCTGAAGCTGTAATCCTATGGTCTTCGTACTCAACTCCCCTAGCAAAACCTAGCCTGTTGTTGGATTTCCAGTATCTGGGACGGGAGCGCCGGGCCTGCAAGCCAGGCGACTGCCAGCATCAAACTGACGGTGATGACCCTGGTGGCCCCTGGCCATGATCCTAACGATGGCGGCGGAGGTCATCGCGATGAAGACGAAGACGAACAGTAACATAACCATGCAGCCCGAAGATCAATCTTGACACATTATGGCTGCAATGCTTCTGGTTCTGTCTCCACCTGTTGAGGCAACGTGTACTTCTGTAAAATCGAGGCCATGGCTTAACGCTAGTGATAGTGGTGATGCCCGTCATGATCATGGTGATTGCAGTGGTCATAATGATGCCGCTGACGATGTTTGAGATGAGGATGACCATGTTGGAGGTGATGGTTGGGTGGTGTCGACAACCCGCTGGATCACCACCACCACCACCATCATCATCATGCCTCGGGTTTAGGGTTTACCAAGGGTTTCTTCGTGTTGAAGGGAATACCCTAGAGGTCCTGTGCCGTGGATTCTCTGAGGTCGGAGCAAGGCCGCCCGTCCCCAACTTGATTCCACCAAAATACCTCTGCATTAGAATTTAGGGTCTAGGGAATTTAACAAAATGTCATACACAGGGAATAGAAAATGCGGGTTCCTTTGTGAAGGTATCTTCAAGCAAGGTCAAGAAGAACCCAGTACTTGGGCCTGCCTGGGGGGTACAGCATGGGTTTCCTATACACTATATAGTACCATTATGGTTCATGTCATCTCTACGGTTAGGCTATGGGTATGGGTTCAAAAGAACGCAAACCCAAACCATAGTGCAACACAAAAGCGATGCAACACGTGCTCGAGGAACACACCAAAAAAGGGTTCAGGCCCACTTGCAGTCTAGCTCTTTGTTTGTTTACAAGGAATCTCGTCGAGGCTCGCATTTACTCCACTTGGGGGTGCTGGATAATAGTAGCGTTGCACCCTTAAGGGTTCCTTCAAAGCAAACGCTTCCTGTTTGAGTTGCTGTGCTATGGCCTGCTATGGTTGTATAGGTAAACTACACTCTCACCACACCCTAAACTCTAAGCCCCGAATCCTGAAGCAGTTTCGGGTAAACTTCGGGTGCTTGATCTCCGACGTCCTTCTTGCCGGCATGTTACCGAGTCACCACGACCACCACACCGAAGAGGCCAGACCCTTCGAGAACTGCACGCATGGGCATACCTCTTTCAGGGTTTAGGGTTTAGGGCAGAAAGCCCCAGCGATCTTGAAAGCAATAACCTACGGTTTCGTATCCCGCCTGTGATGAACAACCATCAAACCTTGTATAGAATGCCTACAGCCCTAAACCTGGAGCGGACTGTAGCAAGTGCCCGAAACATCAGTAGGAGGAGGGGTAGGCACTCTACCTAAAACTCTACTTGGAGGCCCAGGGGACTTAGTAAGTCGGTTATAAGTAAGGTTATAATTAGGGTAACTCAATTTAGGGGGCTTATAACTCTACTTATGACCCACTTACTAAGTCCCCTGGGCCTCCAAGTAAGTCCGGGCTTCAAACTCGGCCGCAGGTGCTTGACCCTCGCCTTTACCCTTATAACCTGGATCCTCCATAGGGTTTGGGTTTAGGGTTCAGGGTTAGGCAGGGTTTAGGGATTTTAGGGTTTATTAAGGTTTAGGGTTTATTAAGGCTTAGGGTTTAGGGTATAGGAAGGTTTAGGGTTTAGGGTTTATTAAGGTTTATAGGGTTTAGGGTGTAGGAGGGTTTAGGGTTTAGGGCTCTAGGGTCTAGGGAAGCCCAACCCTAGGCCCTGTACATCCTCCACCCTCACGCCCCAACGCTACACCCATACCACGTAAGAACCCTAGGACGAAGAATTGCAGTGCGGAGGGATCTTGTGATCCTTCTATCCTAGGATGGCAAGCTCACGGTAGACCTTCAAAATGCAGAGGGGGTTACTTTTTGTAGGACGGTCCGTATAAATGAAAAAAACTTGGTGCCGCTGACGCTCTGAACTTCGGGGTTCAAGGTTTCAGAGTAGGGCTTTCTTTGTCTTCAGGGTGCAGGGGTAGAAGTTGAGGATTTAGAGCTTGCAGGCTTAACGCTGTAGAGTCGTAGGGCTTGGAGTTTTGGGGTATGTATGTATGACGGTTTTAGGTCTCAGGGCCCAACTAACCAGGCTGCAGCAGCTCATGTTCTCTAGTGGAGGCAGGCTTCCTGTCCGTCCGCCTTCGCCTTTCGGGTTTGGTTTAGGGTATAGGGTTTAGGGTTTAGGGTTTAGTTTAGGGCTCGCGCCCCTCATTCCTATGTCGTAAACTCGAAAGACTTATAAACCACACTAGGGTTGAATAACAGTTCTACAACTACAAGGCTTCTAGAAGGGTCTGAGGGTCTAGAGGGCCTTCAGCATTCGAAGAGGGTTTCGGGACACAGTCCACTATCATCCAGGTTCCTGTACGATGCTACTATCTATTCCGAGCCTAACCCGTAAACCCTCAACCCCTAAACCCTAAACCGCAAACCCCTAAACCCCCAAACCCCCCTAAACCCCCACACCCCCTAAACCCCTAAACCCTAAACCCCTAAACCCCTTCCTTAAGGCCTAGGCCTAGGCCGATGCGGCCTGCAGTTCCGCTGGGCTCGCCATCATCCGAGCTGCCGACTTCCCCATCTTAGTCAGGCCGGGATGTGGGAAGCTTCTCTGAAGTCTCTTAAGTGAAGCTTTAGGGCCTTTAGGGCTTAAGGTTTAGAGTTTAAGGCTTAAGGTTTAGGGAACAGGTTTAGGGTTTAAGCTCTCAAGGCAAGTTGCAAGTGCTACTGCACAGAAAACTTGGAGACCAAACCAACGCCAAGAGCGAGCAAAACTCCAGGAGATCAGCAAATACAGACTAAACTGCCACCTTTTGATTCTGTGCCGCGAGACCCATGTTTTTCTAAAAGTCTCGTGGGACAGTACGAACTCTTGAACACCTGTCTGCCTTTACCAGACCGCGAACAAGAAAAGAGCTGCCTTGCTGCTGAGGGTTTAGGGTCTATAAGGGTGTAGGGTTTAGGGTCTAAGGTCT